GAAGAATAATTCTTATTTTCATTTTCCCCTCAATGGGAACTGATAGAACACAACATAGCAACTGGAAAAAAAAATAAAAAAAAATAAAATACAAAACAAAACAAAAAACAAAAAAAGCAAAAAAAGCAAAAAGATTCATTCCATAGTGGCAACTCCTCCAGCAACCTTGACCTTCTCGATTATGTTGTTTGCCTCCTCTTTCGTGACTTCTTGTCCAAGCAAAATCGAGGTTTTCTCTACCAAATCTTTTTCTTCCTCCAATCCTAGATTCGTAAAAGCTCTAACCTCTTTGATGACCTTGATTTTTGCAGCAGCGTTAAATTTCTCCAACTTAACATCAAATGTCGTTTTATCTGTCTTCTTCTCCTCAACCTTTGTAGTGGACGGCCCTCCCTAGGGACCCACATCCATGCTTTGTATTGAAATCGGTTGCATCTTGGGATGCTTGAGTCTCTCCCTAATAGTTGGACCGATTTAAACACACTCCTCAGTGGGTAGGAAAACAATGCATTCAATGAGAAAAAAATAAAAATACAGCGCATTTAGTTGCATTGTTTCTTTCTAGGGTGTTCAATAAGGAATAAATAATGTCAAAAGAGTTTGAATTCTAATATACATTTCACATATTCTTATAAAATTTTGGAAGCAGCTTGCCTCCAGTCCGAGATTGGACTAGATGGTGCCATTCGGTCCGCGGGGGCCAATTACGGGTCCCGTTTTAATAATTCGAACCGTTGAATGCGTAAAAATTGTCGAGTACTATATATCTATAAAAAATCACATTGATCGGATATTGACAGCTATTTCATCGGATCAGTTTGTTGTCAACCGTTAATTTGTTCATCATCTTTTTTTTTTTATATACAAAACTAATCTGATCACATAGCTATCAATATCCGATCAACGTGATTTTTTACAAGCATATAGGGGGTGTTTGTTTCAGCTTTTCAGAGCCAACTTATGGCTTTTAGCTTTGAAAAAGTTATTTTGGACTGTTTGGTTAAACTTATTTCAAATAGCTTCTGATTCTAACAGCTTATTTTAACTCAAAAAAACTGATTCTGAGAAGCTGCTCACCCCTTGCTTCTGATTATCAATTTCTGCTGTGGACATGTTAATTTATGATTATACTCTTAAATTTTTTTATTTTTTATTTTTTTAAAAATAGAAAAAGACTCAAATGGACTATAGATTATTATTATTATTTTTTATGAGAAATGTAGACAAACAAAAAATAAAAATTAATTGAAAAAGCTATTTCACAGCTTATTTAACAAACACTACTCAGCAACTTAAATCTATAATCCAACAGCTACACCAAACAGATTAACAACTTCTGATTAAAGTCATCATCTATAATCTGTTAAGTTATAATCTATAAGCTGTTTTAACAGCTACACCAAACGGAGCCATAGTACTCAACGATATCTATATATTGCGGTTCAGATTATCGAAATGGGACCCGTGGTAAGTCCCCACAGGCCTAACAGTACCGTCCAATCTGATCTTAGACTGGAGGCAAACTGCTCCTTAAAATTTTTTATATATCTATACATTTTTTTTATATTTTAATACACTTTTTTCCCACATACGATTAGCATTTCTTTTTTTTATTAAAGCAAAAAACAGAAACATAAAGTTTTGATTCATCAAAAGTCAAGAAGCTAGAATTGAAGGAGTGTCATCTCACTCTCTCCCATAAAAATTCACTATTTAAAGAATAAAAAAAATTACAACTTATTAATGCAAAAAGCAGGAACAAAAAATTCCGTTTCGTTTCGTTACGTTTCATTTGTTGTATAAAAGAATATGTGTTTGGTACCAATATGCTTATTCTTAAATGAAAACATGAAACATGAAATATAACAAAAAATTTCGTGAGAAAACCTAAGAAATTATAGGGAAAAAGATGAACAATGAGAAACAAAAAGACAGAGCAATAAAATATTAACAGATTATTAGATAATAAGTTCAAAACTAATACAACCATTCAAATCGATTCGATAATCGTAATATATTTAATTTATTATGTTTGTCACACAAAAAATAGATGATTTTTTAAAAAATGCACTTGATGCACTTGACATCCATTTTTTCACAGACAAAGGCGATAAATTAAATATATTGCGATTATCGCATCTACTTAATTTTTTTGTGAACAATACACACGAATTGTCTTACAAAATAAACAGTTTAAATCGTCAAAGATCTGTGATGAGCTCTACAGGCCAGGACAACATCCTCCAGTCCAGATTTTGAATTGGAAGAAAGCCCAACCCTTCATAATATACCTATTTTGACTTTTTTATTGAAATTGTTTTCTTTTACCTCTACGTTTGGAACATGATTTGAACAACATATAATATTAATGCATTGATGATACATAAAACGATAATTTTCTCTGCTTCACTCAATCATTTCGCACCTTACTTCACACAGGTTTCCCTTGCCCTAATGAAAAAGGAGGACTTGGATGGATTTTGCTCTCCCATCGAGTCCCGACCCCAATCCCAACCCTAGACCCAATTATATTTATTAATATATTTATAATATATAATTTAATTTTTAAAATTTAATAAGATTAAAATATTATGCTTAACATTTATTTTCACATTTTTATTTTTTTATCTTATATATTTTAATCTCATCACTGATAAATTATTATCCAAAATATAATATATTATCTCTCATTTTAATTCTTATTTGTATCCTAAAGCTACAAAATTAACTCCTTCCCGTCCACCCCACTCCAGAGGACGACACATCCGACAACCTCATTGCCATTCATATCAAATAATATTCATAATTTAGTATCAGTCAATGTGATATTACGGTTTTGGACATTAGATTTATTACAAAAAATGAGGAATAAAATTACTTATCTCTATTCATTTTTTATGAATAATCAAAGACAAATTCATTTTCATCAATAAAGTTGATCTTTTTTGCTGATCAAAAAAAAAAAAAAAAAAAAAAAAAAAAAAAAAAAGGATAAATTCATTTTCTTTTTGCTTTTATCTTTTTCATTTTCTTTCCTTTCTCCTTAACACCTTCAAAAACCAAATAAATGAAAGAAGGTTTAAAATCTTGTTATTGCAACAAGAACCTTCGTGGGCTTGTGATTGCTGGGCCGAGTTTTAAATCTAAACCTAGTTGGCTTCATTTGGGATGTGGATTGATTTTTTTGTTTTTTAACTATTCTAGTTTGGAGTTGAAAAGTCTCGTTTAGGATAGACTTTTTGACTTTTTTGACTTTTGTGAGAGAAAAAATGAAATGATTATAATTTAGATGTAACATTTTATTTTATTAAACTAAAAAGCCTATTTTATCCTTTTATGACTACTTTAGCCCCAACCCAGCCCAATCCAACTTCTCAAACAAGTGTTTAGGGTGAATGTTTGGGTTGTGTCCTATGTTGTGGGCGCAAAACTGTGCATGGGCTTCATGCCAATTTTACCTCCCAGTGAACATTACTATATTTAGATATATTGGTGCATAAATAAATAAATAAAATGGTTAATTACCTTTTCATCCTAAAAGTATGCAAGTTGTGTCATTCTAATCTCTAATATTTAAGTTATATCGTAGGTTAATTACACTTATCACGCTTATAGTTTGATTCAAATTTTACTTTGATTTTTATAGTTTCAAATTAAATAGTTTCATCCATATACTGTATATTTAATTTAAGTTTGAACCTTCAGTTCAAGTTGGAAGTTAAAGTTAATAATTTTGGAACATTTTTCAGTCTCTTAAGGTGTACATATAGGAAAAAATAATGACAATTTAAGTGAAAGGACCAAATTGAAGCTTGAATCAAAGTGCAAGAATCATATTGTTTAATTTGAAATTATATAGAGACTAAAGTGAAATTTAAATCAAAATATAATAGAATAATATTTCGTAACTCGAAATTCTATCGCCTCGAATGGCTCAACTATCTAAAACGACGTCGTTTAAGGCTTTTTTTTTCCCCCTATTATATCTTTGAAACAGAGGGAGAAAGAGAGAGAAAGAGAGAGGAAGAGGAAACAGAGAGAGAGAGAGAGGCTCCGATCTTCGATCACAACCAATTGACGTCGACGTCGGACGCCACAACTCTCCAGCCACAACTAGTCAGCGTCGGACGCCGCCTCCGATCTCCGATTCTTCTCCACCGCCCAGCCACAACTAGTCGCTGCCTCCGATCTCCGATTCTTCTATATATATATATATATATATATTGTGATTGTTTGTTATTGTTGATGATAATGTGTTGTTATTGTTGATTTGGTATTGATGATGATGATGTGTTGTTGTTGATATTGTTGATGATGATGATGTATTGTAGATTAGGAAATATGCATCATTTAGTGTTGATGATGATGATCTTAGGTTGCTTTGTTGATGATGAATCATCTGGTGTTGATGACGATGATGATGTTGATGATAATGATATGTTGTTGATGTTAATGCTCTCTCTCTCTCTATCTCAGTTCCCCAGCTCCCTCCTCTCTCTCTCTCTCTCTCTCTCTCTCTCTCTCTCTCTCTCTTTTTCTTCATCTTCATCTTCGCCAGAGAGAAAAGGAAAGGAAAAAAAAATTCAAAAACGACGCCGTTTTTGAATTCAAGCCATTTCGGGCCAACTCTGTTTCAAGCTACGTAGCAGCTCTGAATATAAAATTCTCCCTTATATCAATTTGTTCCAAATAGATAGCATTAAATCCAGGTATAAATGCATTTAAAAAAAATTTACCAAGCTCAACACATCAGCACACAAAAGTTACATGGCTAGAAAAGGATACACCAAGTTCTCTAAGTTCTAGCTATCTTTAAAAGAAAACAAACAAAAAAAAGTTCTTTAAGTTCTAGCTATCTTTAATAAATAAAAAAATAAAAAAAAAAGTTCTCTAAGTTCTAAAACATTTTTTTATGCAACTAAAAAAGCAATATAATATCTTCCTTGAAATCTCAACCAAAGCCTAAGACTTTGAATGCTTTACATATAAAATGTAGAATATGTTTGAACAACACCAAAATAAATAAATAAAAGGATGGAGAGAACAACCTTTAGGCACTATCTAAAGCAGCCATTTTTGAACGCTCACAATCTCAATCACACTCAACAACACTAGGTTAAATCATTTAAAGGATAAAAATAAAAATCCTTCATAGAAAGAAACATTAAAAACCTTTCCATCAAAGGCACATATATACTTAATTAGAAGTATTAATATAAGTCCTAGATTATGTTTAGGTTTCTTCATGCACAGCCGTTGATTGAGCCAACCTGCAATTTCGGACCATTGATTACAAAGGGTATAGACTAATAATGGGTTTGTTGTAGATGATCCATAAGAGCTAATATTTTACAAAGATATGAACCCCACATAGGTGAGTTCTATATATCTATGAAAGAAATAAGTGCTCCACAATGTTATGTAAATGCTCTTATGATCCATACTCATTCATCAATCCTGTCCATGATCCCATGCTATTGAGATACCCAAAAGAGTCCTTCCCAGCATCAGAACATTCTTGATCATGCCACTCAATGGCCAAAAGTTTGGTGTTTGGCTTCACATCCATTGTGGTTTGATTCTCAATATGTTCTTCATATGGAAGCATTATCCTCTGATAAGTGTCCATAAAAGGTCCCGGACCACTTAGATTTGCTTCTGGCGTATTGAATAATTTCTCTCCAAACGGAGAGCATAAGCCATGAAAATTAGGTGTCAACCCATGATCATGGCTCATGTCATGACCAAGCCCACCCATCATTGCCAAGTCACCATTCCCCATGAAACCTTCATATCTACTTTCCATAAAATCAATGGGCCTAGGATTTTCAAGCATGGCATTGGCATTATACTTGCTCTCCAAGAAACTAGGGTTTCCAAGTCCCCCATGGTTCCCTAGCAAGTTAGTGAGGTGAGAAAATGGCACTTCAGGGAAAGAAAGCTGTAGATCGGTTGGACTGTGCGATGATGATCCGCTAGAATTTTGGTGGTTGACTGATTTATTATCATTTGATTTCTTGGTAGAAACTTTCTTGTTCTTCCTACATCCACCGCCAACCGGTATATTCCTCAGTGTCCCTCCTTTCGTCCAGTACCTCCTACAGGTCTTGCAGAAGTACCTCGGTTGTGTAAGGCTATAGTTGTTATAGTAGCAAAACTTGGTATGGGTTGAGTCACACCGTGGGCACTTTAGGGCTTGGTCATGTTGGGGCCTAAGCCTTCTTTCCATCAAGGGTCTTGGGCATGTGAACATGTCCCCAGATGGGGAAGAAGAATCCATTGGAGAGTCATCGTGGATCGTCTCCTGACATGCAAATGTGTCAAAGTAGTCATTAGAATAATTCAAGTTAACTTCAGTTATATCGATTAGAATGTCCATAAGCTAAAGTTCCAAAGATAGCAATTCCCACATCACACACAACCTATATGAAGTGTGTTATCAAATAAATTATTATAAGCTTCCAAATTTAGTGAAATTTGTTTCGAATTTGAGTTACAAAAGTTAACTTCTTTATTGAAAAGATAAATAAAGAAGATAAGACTGCTTCCTTACTATCTAAGATATTGAAATAAGTCTAAATAATTAACTGAAATGCTACTTACTCCAAAGAGATCTTAAAAACTATCCCAAATATGAAATTTATCGTGTAAATTTATTATTGTGATACCAAAATCAGAATAAATCTCGTCCGTAAATTCCAATACTTTGTAAACCATTATGTGATTGAATTACTGTCTTTCTTTCGTTTCTATTTTCAAAAGCAACCCCTTCTAGCTTTTTGAATGAAGGGCCTACATGTTTAGCTCTTTTTGTATATCTGCCTTGTTATCGTGGCTTTCACATAATCTTAGACCATGTTGGCCATTAAAAATTGAAAGGGAAAAATCTTGAGGACATTGGAAAATTTATAGGTTTCATTTCACACGGTGTTTAAATTTTAAAAATGCCAAACATCCACGTCAGAGAAACTTACACAGAAGAGAGACAAAATTAAAAATATGCGTGTCTCTGTAAAAAAAATGTATGTGGGAAATATAGACTTTTTGAGGGGGAAAAAAAATCATGACAAGAAGGGTAATTTCATACTAATAGAATTATTTTATTTTATTTTATTTTTTACAAAAAAAAAAATTATGCAGAATGATATCATCATTTATTTGAAGTCAAAATACTATTGTCATGACTCTTAATTGCATATGAAAATGAAAATCACAAAATTTCTTTTTGTGGAGAAGAGAAGGCATGACATATACCTGTAGCCAATCAGAAGAATCCATGCAAACTTGGAGAGAAGTAAGAGCCATTGAACAAACTTCACTGAGCAAAGTGGGCAATTGATGATCAGGCAAATCCTTTAAGAACACTGCATTTCACTCCTTGTGCTAATGTGTGTGTGTGTTAGAGAGAGAGAGAGAGTGATGGTTTGTGTGGGAGGGTTGGAAAGAGGAGGGGAGTGAGAGTTGTGAATAAGAAGGAAGAAAAAGGCAGTGGGTGGTGGTGGGAGTAGCTTCGCTAGCGGCTGCATGCTACCGTCGGTGGCAACTTAAGTGGGCCCCACACTGTCACCCCATTGTCTCATCTAGTTTGAGAATAGGTTGTTTTGCTAATTTTTTGATTTTTTATTAAAAAAAAAAAAAAATTATAGAAAAATAGAGCGAATAATGTAATAATTTATAGTGTTTTTTAAACCTTTTAACTAAAATATATAATTTATAAACGAGACCTTAACCTAATAAATATTAGATATAGTTGTAATACTACATGTCAATATTATTAATTAATCAAAAAAATTTACATCATCAGATTATAAAGTGTGTGATTGGTTAATGGAAAACAAAAACAACAATATTAGGAATTTAAAAAAATTTACCCAGCAAAAAAATTTTGTGTACTTAATTTTCTATTATGGTGTGGGATCTACACTCGTACCAGTGTGTGGTGTTTGGGGTTTTGCTTGTTTGGTGTTTTTTTTTTTTTTAAGTGAATTTTTTAAAAAATTTAGAAAGTTTTAGGTTGCGTTTGGTTGTGTTTTGTAAATGTGATTTGAGAGTATGAGTTGTATTTTGAGTTTGTGTGTTGTAGAATTATGATTTGAGTGTAGAAAACTTGTTTAGTAAAGAGTTTTGAAAATAGTTTTGGAAATGAGGTTTGATTTGAGTAGAGAATTGTTGATGTGATATTTAATATGTGATACAAAAATTTACAACTCATAACTAAACATACAACTCAAAATTATTTTAAAGCACATTAAAAATTAAAAAAATTTCAGAAAATATTTTTCCCAATTATATAAATCAATTGCAAAAAAAAAAAAAAAAAAAAAAAAAATTATGTACAACAGAGGACATCCGGGTGGATGTCCCCAAGGACGTCCGGGCGGTTTTCCCCTGGCCAAAATTTTCACAAAAACCGCGGCTATGATACAGAGCTCTCTGCAGAGGTTTTGAAAGTTGATTCCAAACTCACAACCAAACATCATACTGAAACACACCTATGGAATTACGTTTTGAATTCACAACCAAACAGACCCTTAGGCTTTTAGATTCAATTCGATAAGACAAATCAGAAAATAAAAATAAAATTTAAAAATCCAAAAAAAGTCAGATTAAACAAAAATAATTTTAAAAAAATAGACTTTTTTGGTTTATTTTGACTTTTCAAATTTTTTTTATAGATCTTTTTATTTTATTTTTATTTTTAAATTCGTTTAAACAAGACGAACTGAAAAAGTAAAAATATACCTATATAATTGACATAATTTTGAAAAAAAATAGTAAAGATTAAAAAATAAAAAATAAAAAAAAAGGTAGCTTATTTAGGGATTCCCAAACACCCAAGAACTTTCTAGCACTTCTCGGAGAAGAAAGAAAGAAGATTAGATCTACACTTGGTGGGCTCATTTTTGAATCAGTTTTGGTAATTTGAATTGTTTATTTTTAAGCCTCATATAATATATTTAAATCATATTTATTTTTAAAAAATAGATGATAATTATAATTTCAAGAGTAATTATTCATTTTTTGGAATACAAATGTGATTTAAACGTATAGCCATTGATAACTGGTCATCTTAATTTTTTATATAAATATTCTACTCAATGAGTACTAAAAAGTAAGCAGTTCGGATCACTAAAGTCAGTCCCAAAATGAGCTTACCAAGTCAAATATCCTCTCAAGTTGAGATAATCAATTTGAGAAAATCCAAACCCAAGAAGAAGTAAAAAAAAAAAAGCAATACTGGGGATACCAAAAAAATTATCAAATATTCTATACCTATGTGCCATACCTATATAAGTGTTGTCCTCATTTATTTTGAGAGATAGAGATGTGATTGGGATTGAGATGGAGGTGGAACTCATTATATGTTATGTTTGTTTTGGGAGATAAAGAGGGAATTCATAATCTCATGAGATTAGGATAGACCTTAGTGTTGGGATTGAGATGGAGAATGTGAAGATGGTATTAGGAAATTAGTTTCATAGGATTAGGTTTTTTTATTTTTTATTTTTTTATTTACATGTTGGCCTTTTTTTAACATTAATGTTTAATATTTTTGTATTTTTTGTTAAATAAAAATCATAATTTTATTTGTTTAATATTTTATATTTCTTTTATAGAGTAATAATTTAACAATCTCCACATTAACAACTACCATTAAAACAAATACAATTTTACTTAATCTACTCACTATCAATCCTCTTACTAATGATATCATCACTATCAATTTTCTCCATTCTAACTCTGAAAACAAACTGAGTTTAGAGGTGTTTAGTATTTTTGAGAGAAAAAAAAAAGTATTATGTAATTAAAATTCATTTTTAAAGTGTAAGTTCAACAATACAAAATCATACATTACTTATCAAAATAAATTTATTGACAATTTTCTGGATTCCCGGAACAAGAATTTTATTTGTCACCATTAACGTGGACTACATTGATTGGTGACCCTGTATAAAATGATGTTATCTTTATACTTAATATTTATTATTATTTTTTTAATCTCACTCTTTATTCTTCTACATCAAATATTGAAGTATATAGTTTTTCTTTATCAAATCATAACAATAAATCATATAATAGAGAAAAAAAAACTAAATTAAAAATATGTCTCTTGAGATTTGCTTAAAATATGAATTGTCTATTGTGATTTTGAAAATTACAAATACCTTCTTATTATAATTTTTTATTTAATAGAAAAAATAAAATTTTTAACTTCACTTCTTATACAACAATAAAATTATATGAATTATTAATTGACTTGTTGATTTATTAATAAAAGAAAATTATTTGTTATCAATTAGAAACTTGAAGAGACAATATGCAATTTCTAAAATTATAAGAGGTAATTTATATTTTAAGCAAATTTCAAAAATTGTATTTGTAATTAAGCACAACTTCTCTCCAGTCCATTTTCAAACTAGACGGTGTTGTTGAGCCGTGGTGGGGCCGACTCTAGGCTCATCTCAACCATTCAATGTGTAAAGTTCATTAAGTACATAATCCCTGTAAAAAATTACATTGATCAGATTATATTTGTGTCTGTAATTTATTTTTAAAATTATAATTATCATTGAAACAAATTCAAACAAATCAAATAACTATCAGTATCCGATCGACGTAATTTTTTGTAAGAATAATGTACTCAACGAATTTTATCTATAACGATTTAGGGGTTGTTTGGGATGTGTGCACTTTTTTTGACTTTTTATGAAATATGGGTTGGGTATGAGTTGGGTTTGAAGTGATTTGATAGAGAGGTGATGTGACTTAAATAAGATGATGTAACTTTAATAGAATAGTGACTTTTTAAATTTTGTTGAGAATGCCAAACTTGACCTTAAATTATCGACATAAGTTCAAAATTAAGCCCATCACGACTAAATAGCACAAACTCAATTTAAATTGGTACGGGAGAGAAGCACCAGCCTTTATAATTTATCCTTAAGACAATTAGTAAATGTAAATTATTTGTTAGTCTTAGGTGTTATATGGTGAAATTCATCTTGATGGAATGATAAATAATGATTAGTGCCAAGTAACTTCAAAAAGGTATTTAATAATTTTCCCTCCTTTGATAAAAATTAAAAAAAATTAAAATCCCTCTTTAGCTCAGATTGGCTAGATCGTGACTTTGCTAGAAAACCAATGGCTAGGATTTAATCGCATGGTCTTTTAATCAAATTAGGTCTCGTTTGGAAACAAATTAGTTTAGTAAACTTTTTTACTTTTTATAAAATAAAATAAAAAGCACAAAAAATAGAAAGAATAATATGATAACGTATAGTGATTTTTTGACTTTTTAATTAAAATATACAATTACCAAACATGTTAAAAAAATACTAAGAACTATTAATATTTTATATTTATGTAAGATCAACACCATATAAATTTTACGTAAATCTTATATTCACATTTAATTAAAAAAAAGTTGAAGCTTGCCTTTAGTCCACCATCTGAACAGGAAGGTCTAGTTCGACCCATTAAGGCTATTTTTTGGCTTCTTTTTGATAATTCAAATAATTCACATTTTAGATTTTGTTGAGTATACTATACTTGTAAAGAGTCACGTCGATCTAGTAACAGATAATATATATTCAGATCATTTTTTTTGAACTGTTAATTTTTTAATCATTCATTTTTTTAGATAAAAGTGATTTGAATAGATAGTATCTGTTATCTGATCGAAATAATTTTTTTATAAAAATAATTGACACAGTATATTTTAAAATATGAACAATTTTAATTATCAAAAAAAATTTAAAAATAAATCCAATAAATCCAATAAACCAAATTAGATCGCCCGTCCCAGATCTGGACGAGAAACTGTCCGGATCCTATAAAAATATTAATAAAATATTTAGATAAAGTGTTTGGATTTTCTACGTCAGCAATCACGGCGTCGTGTTCAACAAAGTCATGTCATGTCTGACGTGACAGAAGCGAGAGAATATTTGGGTCCGCAGTTCGATAATGACCAAAAAAGTAAAAAAAAATATTAAAAAAAAAAAAAGTGCAACTCCTCTCCAGTTTAAAATCCAACTATGCCCTCCCCGCCATGTGAACTTTTTGGGTTAAAATATTAAAATAATTATAAAAAGATAAAATAAATTAAAATGTAAATAAAATAAAATTTACATAAAATTTACATCTAAAATATAATAATTTTATTTTTTATTTTATAAAAATTAAAAAAAATAAAAAAAAAATTATCACAAACGAAATTTTTTAAATCCAAATTAAAAAATTAAAAAGTCAATCCAAATCCCAACAAAACCTATGTTGTTGAACTTTGTTGTGAGCCTATCACAAAATTTACATCTATGATTTGAACAGTTCAATATATAGAATTTGTCAAGTATTTTATTTTTGTAAAAAATTACTTTGATCAGATATTAGTAATCACATAATTAGATTAAATTTATGTCAATGATAATTTTAATTTTAATTTTAA